TTATTTGTTTTTCTTGTATACATATATTATCTCGGTGAATAAGAGTCTGCATAATATATTCATCCATTTATGTATATATAAATATATATTAAATAAAATCTGGTTATTGTTTCAATATATTAAATAATCATCTTTAAATTATGAAACTCGTATATTCAGTGCTCTGTTGTAAAAAGACTATGAGCGTGTGTCTGTAAACTCGCTGGACTCGACTAAATTCTATTATAAATCTTGTTTGTAAAATCTTTGTAAATCCATTCACAAAGAACCTTGCCTACAAGCCTATTACTGCGAATTTTCGCGTAAAGAGCATGTTTGTTTATTTTTCTTTAAATTAATTTCATTTTAACCATAGCAAAAAAATAATTCCACTTTATTTAATTTAAAATAAGTTATGGAACGCATTACCTATTAAACAAAAATGTTTGTAATGTTTATTAAGCATAACAATTAAAAATTAAATGAAATTTTAATGTAAGTAAATTGTAGAGTACTAACAAGAGGTAATTCCTACGTTAATGTGTTCTAATGCAACCTGCAAAAAAANAGATTGCGTGACTATTATTATTATTATCATTAAAAAAAGAAAATATATATAAACAAAAACAACGGATTGCACCTCAACCAACGGAAGTTAAACAAAAAAATACGAAAAAAAATATATGTTTATCATAACGTGCGACGACGTGTCGTGACTATCAGATAGTCATCCCTCGGATAAAATCTTATACATTTTGTTTTTTTTTTCACGTAACTATCTCTTCAACCAATATAGTTTATAAATAACGGTAGGTAATATAAAATATAGTACTATAAATCATCGAATAAAAAAAAAAATTTCATAATTATCTTTTGTCTATGCATTTAAGTCCCCGATCGTGGAATGTCTTTGTGATTTCCACTGTTTTGTTGCAGTACATTGACGGTGTGCAGAGAAAAAAAAAATTATCCATTATAGCTGTTGTGCGTAACAAGTACCTTTCAAATTTATAGTCAAAGATCATATTAGAGCTGCTGCATTAAAGAAAAAAAACATGTTAAATTTGGAAAAAATGCATAGGATAGAAACTCGTTGTTTTCGTTGTTGATCGAACTAACGTTTATAGCTAATTACTTTCAGATTAAGCTTACACTCGAACTAGATTTTTTTTAAACATTAAAGTGTGAGTTTTATTTGTTTCCCCTACTTTTTATTTCCAGTAAAATATTTACATTGCCACGAACACTTTATTGTTATGCATTAGTTTTATTCTTTACATGCAGCGCATACGAAAACCCACTATATTTGCCCCATAAGCTTTCCCCCTCCAAAGAATACAGGAAAAAAAAAAAAAAGTTTGATTGAGGCTGAAATATTTTTTTCTCTCTCATGCTTCTAAAAAACCAGTTATCTAATATGAAGTCCAACTATAAAAACGATTTATTAGTGTTTTTTTTTCATCAATAACTACATACGCGTCTTATTTTGCGTATGAAATTAAAAAGGTTAAATTTACCTACGATTAAGATTGTGTTAATAAACAGTTAAACACCTCAAAAAACTCAGGTCTAGGTCTAATCTTCATTAAATTACCCGACCCTCCGATCGCAAATTTATCTACGTCGATTCTTTCACCCGCAGCTAAATCAACCCAAGCTAGCTTTTTCTTTTATTTTTTTTTGTATTATTACCATTTGTTCATATTTCTTTTTTCATTAAATTTTCTCTTTGGTTTCTACGTGGTATTACATACTCGTTAGAAAACCAAGACTACGGGAGAAATTGGCACCACACTTGCTCCCATTTTGTTTCTCTTATTAAATAAGCGCGTCGCGTTGCTTTTTACTTTCTTCCTGTACACCAAACTTTTCCCTCCTTCGAAATCGCTTCGACTCATGAACACATTGTATTTTTCGTGCTGCGCGAGCGGCAATATTCACCTTCCAGCCGCCGGGGCATGGAAAATCGTCTACAACAACCCTAGGCCGGAAGTAAAGTAGCCTCCGATCGTCCGTGTATTCGTTGTGTGCAAGTTGGTGGAGGGGAGGGCTGGCGCCACTTGTCACTTTTGCACGTAGTCTTATGGAATCGTCCGGCAAAACCGCCAGTGGTTGCCACGTCAACTTATTTTTTCCCGTTTAACTTAACATGAAAAATCCGGCAATATGGGACTGAACTTGCACACAGCGAATTGACGTCCCGGGGCTGAGCCTAGGGTCGTACTATACTATTTCGCACTCGTCGCGCATGCGTTGCCTCCACAATCTTCTTCCTAACCTCAAAAAATACCTTTCGTGCGATTAACTTGTTTAAAAATTAATCTCATTTTCAGAAAAGAAAAAAAAAAATACAAAAAAATGTTACTGCAAATCGCTTCACAGAAGAAAAAAAAGTATCATCAGTAGTAGTTGTGACAAAAATAATATTACGCTGAAAAAAAAAAAAATTTTAACCCTTTTGACTGGCGCTCATTCTGTAACGCACCAGGAAGAACTACATAACATCAATCACATGCTTTAAAATCATGCTTGTAAATAAACAAACTACTCTGCAACGATAATAGGATAACAATTATGTATATGTATACTACAAAAAAAAAATATTTTTTTAATGACATCTACAAGTGTAATCGAGAAAATCGAGTGAAACAAAGATCGCAAAACTCATCCGGTCCGTCATCAAGAATAAACGGTCTGTCAAAAGGATCAAAAGGCGCCGAACGAGCGAAATACATTTTTGCATCGTAAAAGGACACACAATATATACCGCCTCTTTGAATCCGTGCTCAATAAATATATGTTCACATGACAAAACGTTTTCTCCCTCTCTTTCTCTCTTTGGACGTTTGTGACGTGTACTTTGTATCTTGGTGTTGGTGCATGTTTTTGATGTGCCTACTGCGTGTGTAGCTTTTCAATCATCTTCTGATGGCTCATGCGCTCACCTTCCTCGAGGATCAGTTTTAAAAATCTTCAAAAGACGCGACGACGACGACGACGACGGCGATGATGGTAATGAAGGGTCGACGATGGGAAGGACCATGGCGACGACGACGATGACGACAGAGCTACCTTCCCTCTCTCTCTTTCTCTCTCTCTCTCTCACTCTCGCTCTCCCTAACTATATCGTTACACACCAGAATCAGCTCTGTACAATATATTCATGTATATTTTGTATGTATGTATATATATATATATCACATTGCAAATTATATATAACTTTTGGCGCCCGAAGACAACGAGAGAGGAGGATCGAGTCTTTGGATGGTGTGTGTGTACATCGCTCGTGTACCGACATTAGCTCTATCGTCGCAATCGTCATCGGCAGTTGTAATATTCATATAACCAGCCACGTAAAGTCAGTTGTGTTCATATGTGTGTCCAGACGCAGTGGAGAAAGACGTATTCTGTTTTTTGTTTTTTTTTCTGTTTTTTCTTAATCATTAAAATTTAAAAAGTAGAAAAAAAAAAAAAAACGCGATCAAGGAGGAGGAGGACTCGGAGGCGTCGAGAGAGAAAGTCGTTTAGGAGAGCGTGTTCATGGTGTCATTGACAGCTGCCGCCGCAGCAGCGGTTAGGGCTAGCGAGCCGGCCATGTAATCGTTAAGATCGATCTTTCTTGACTCGGGATGTTTAAATTTAAAGTGCGTGCGCAGATTGTCGCTGCGCGTGTACGTCGCACGACAGAGCGGACACTCAAACCTGCCGGGGAAGTGGACGTGGTAGTGGTTCCTGATGTGCGTCACGACCTTGCCGCAGAGCTTGCACCTGTGTAGGTTGCAGCCGCCTGGCACCCGGTCAAAGGTCAGCCGCATGTGCCAGGCTTTTGAACCTGCAACATCAACACAAGACAAGTCACTCAATCAATTGCTTTTTTTTTTGGTTAATTTTTTTTTTGTTTTTCAAATTTTGTTTTCTCGCGCCTCGTTACATCGCGTGTGAATTTCTTTTTTTTTTTTTTTTTAGTATTTGTATACACACGTGGAGCCGAGACCCGACTAGCGACGTCTCGGTGTCGACTCCGTGGTGTTTGAATGTTATTTGGAATTTTTTTTTTCCTTCTTTGTTTCATGATATCATCGTCGCGGATATAAGGTTTTCGTGGACACGCGTCGAGAAAAATCGCAGAGAGAAAGAGAGTGAAACAATGGAAAGAGTGCGCATGTGGAGATTTTTTTCAAAATTTTATTTTTAAGTAATTGATATTGATAATTGGGTGTGTAGTGATATTAATAACGAGAACATACGAACATATTGTTAGATAGAAAAAATAATGAAGACGAGAGAAAAGTGTCGCAAGTAGAGGTGTTTAGATCGTTTTTGCGGTTATTAGTGCAATAGTGTTGATTAATTGTGCGGCGTTTAGTTGCATTAGTATTAATAAAAGCTCGTGGTTCGGGAAAAAATTTGTACCATACAAAATACAATAAAAAAATAAACAAATAATCGTGCATACTTGTCATTTGACAGAGCTAGTAATAAATACACTCATCGAATTTCTCATAAAAAATTGACGAAATTTTGAAATATTTTAGATTAAAAGGCAACATGGCTACCAATCATCAAAATACGATTCATCTTACCAACAAATAATATTTATCATTATATTTCTATTCTCAAAAATTCTTGCATCGAAAAACTATTGTGTTATACAGCCAACGGAGCAAGATTTTTTTTTTGGATTCTCGTCAATACTTTTGCACCAAATTATTAACAATGATACCTTAATAAAGTGCACACATTCCTTGCTTTTAATAAATTAAAAATTTGTTTCAACGATAAATAATAATATTTTGTCTATAAGGTACATTAGATTTGAAGTTTACTAATATTTAATAATATCGTTAAAAATCTCGCTATCCGATAGTAATAAATTGAAACATTAACACGCTACAGCATTGTACATTCGCATTCATCCACTGTTGATCAAAAGTAACAAGAGATTAAAAAAAAAAAAAAAAAAAAAAAAAAAAAAAAAAATAAATAAAAAAAAAAAAAAAAAAAAAAAAAAAAAAAAAAAAAAAAAAAAAAAAAAAAGAATAATAAATTAATTAATAAATAAACAAGCAAGAAGTATTATAAAATAAAATGCAATAAAAAGATAAAAAAAACATTAAAGAATCATCATACTCATTCTATAGATTTGCCTGTAACTTTCAATATACATATTTTTAAATTTACTATCAACAAACTTATGTATCATATCCTTATATTGCCGTACGTTATCGTGTATTTAACAATAAAAACGCGCTTGCGTAAACATAGCATTTCTCGTTCAAAGCCGTGTTGGGTACGTCGAGATTATGGTACAAAAAATATTTACCATGTGGTAATAGTAGTGATTGTAGCAGTAGCAGTAGTGGTAGTAACATAGTAGTAGCAGTAGCAGCGGCAAGTATATTAGCAGTGACATTACATCGAGCGAGAGACTCGGAGGAAAACAAGCCAGTCGAGCTTACAAGAAGGGCGGCGAGAGATCTGTTACGTGCCACCAGTTATATTATTGACACTCGAGAGCCACATACCGTCATACACACGCGGAAAACCAAGTGCTGTGCTTTCATCTCGACGAACGAACCAACGTCACACCATAGTCTTTTGCACATATACTACACATATATACACATATATACACATATTTACAATCAGTCTGTTTTAACACACCCTGCTAAATTCACCTTACAACCACGCATTTCAGTAAGTAATATATAAGGTCCATGCACGTGTTTATTCATATGTGGTTCCGCTTGACAAAATATTCACACTCGAGAGATCGCAAAGTCCCTTTGCTTCTGTGCAGTAGCGCGCTTTCCATACTGGCCTATATTTTTTATATTTCCACAGCATCACGATGCTTGAGAGTCCTTTTTTACTTATGAAGAGCTGTTCATGTTGTTACATGCATAAGTTTTATATTTATCAAAAAACACTTACTTTTGCATCGGTTTTATGGAAGCTAAGGAAAATTTTTAATTTTTAGCGGTGCAACCAAGTTTCAGCTTTGGGCGTTCAAGGTCATTGTTTTTCGATAGGTATAAAACTTTTGCCTGGAGTTAATATTAGGTCAAAAGCACGGTCAAGAGAAAGTGAGATAGAGAGGTTATGTTCATAAATATTTCCATATTTTGCTCCACTTGTAAGAAAATTATAGATGTTATTTTGCAAGTTGACTTGAAATTAATCATAGAAGAGCGCTCAGCTGTTATATTTGAGAAAAAAAAAGTAAAACGTTAAAGCATTTGCTTCAAACATAACTTTTTCCTTAAAAAAAAAACGTTCAGCTCAAAATTATCGGTGAAAAAATCATTCATTTTGGTAGTAAAACAGAACTTTACCATAAGTTGCATAAACGCGTTTTTATTACACAACAAAATCATAACGAAAACATTTATGACACCAAATAAATATTTTTTCTATTATGTTTTTTTCATCAGTTGGCTGGGTGCACCTGCACTGTTCACGCCACCTCATGGCTTAATTTTTTACCAATTGTACGATTACGTACAATAATGGTCTTGCTCACCAATTATTTTTTTAATAACTACAATGTATCTTCCCGGTAAATCAGCAATCTTCTTAAGAACCGCAATCAACGTATATTTAGTTTCAGTGCGAGAGGATGCTCTAATTAGTCACAAAAAATGTTTTTCTGCCCTCACCTTAGTTGTACATAAGACAATCATCCGTCTGCTGAACATGTGTGTGACACTCACATATGCGAGACTACTCACATGTACAAGCAACGAAGAACAACAGTCTTTTGCTACTAATCAAGACGTTATCTGTCTTTGAAAAAATTATGACTTAAAGATTTACTGATCAGAATTCTTGAGAAAGTAGCAGAACTTTCAAAAAGTCTTCAACAGTTATTAAAATAAATTATTTACTGATGTCATACTACAATGTTTTGTATATTTTCGTCACCATCTAGGTACAAAATTCAGCTATGAAGTGGCATGTATCGTGTAAGTGTACCCAGTCTGTCGTTTTAACGAAAATGTATACAGTCATGCGAATTTTAAGGCGTATATCATATCAACATTGAACACGTAATCTCCCTTGCCGACATCATAGTTTTCGAATGTTTTTTAGCAACATTAAATTCACTTGATGCAAAATAATATGCATTATATTTATACATTTCTAATTATCATATAAAAATTTAAAGTAAAAATGTCAACTATGTCACAAAATTTTTTTACCATACTCTTTCTTCTCTGATGTCAAGACGAGAGAAAAGTGTCGCAAGTAGAGGTGTTTAGATCGTTTTTGCGGTTATTAGTGCAATAGTGTTGATTAATTGTGCGGCGTTTAGTTGCATTAGNAATAATATGCATTATATTTATACATTTCTAATTATCATATAAAAATTTAAAGTAAAAATGTCAACTATGTCACAAAATTTTTTTACCATACTCTTTCTTCTCTGATGTCAGGGACGAAAGTGCAACATTTCTTCCAGGTAAAAACTCGCATTCTCTGCTTATAGAAAAGTATTTTTCCGCCCTCGGGTGGTTTTGGGAGGCTGGTACTTCCTCGGACGAAAAAGCAGTTTTCCAGAACTCGTTCGAAAAGTCTCCTTTACGAACCTCGTTACGTCCCTCGCCTTCGGCTCGGGCCCGCAAACCTCTCGGTTCGCAAACAGAGACTTTTCAAACTCGTAGGAAAACTACTATTTCTGCATACCCCCACCGAAAGTGCTTCATATCTGCCCTACTCCAAAACAGATAATCAGCTCTTTCGACGAGGGTATGCAGAAAAATAGTATACGCACCACGTTCGGAGGTTAAGAAATGCCTAAGATTTCACGTTATCTGCGTTATTCACGTGATATCTGCGACATTCTTAACCTCGCTCACTAGGTGCGTAATATACTATTGTCACAATCTGCGTGTCTGCCACCCTCACCTACAGCTCGGAAGGCAATTTCCACGCAGATTACGCCTAAATACTTTTCTGATAGGCAGAGAATGCTAGCTTTACCTGGGAGGTTATGTTGAACTCTCCCCCCCTGAAATCGAGGAAAAAACGTCATATTTCGACGAAGGAAAGATAAAAATTGTATACACTACACGAGACGAGAGTACAGCAAATCACACATATATTTGGAATTAAAAAAAAAATTTTTTTAAATAATGAAACAAAGCTATAAATTTTATCGGCAAGGTAGATCGTTAGTGGTTAAAGGGCATCGTTAATCCCCTTCATAATCCCAATATGCATTTTTTTATTTTAAACTCGTTATACCAAATAATAGCCAATATACTCACTTATGGTTTGTGGTAGACGGCGTGTGTATCTAAAATGTATGGCTTCACGCGATTTTTCAAGCAAACAACAATGGCGTGTGCTACGGTTCGTACTGAAGTATGAGATCTTACGCCAACTAAAAGCTGGTATAATTGGTAGCTTTTTATTTACACTACAGGCATGGGGTGCGTATGTACAATTGGCTGTTTGACTTGGTTAAAATTATTTGCAGAGAGACTTAATATAATGTATATGTACAGTATTTACATCAAGTTAGACCTGTGATGCACTTAATGTAGGTTATGACTGTTAAAATCCTGTCCAATCAGCTTTACTAAATGTATTGTTAGGTAACGTAGACTTCAGAACGTCGTTGGCGGATCAATGAATTTTTGTTACTGTATTAGCAGGTGAGTCGATCGTGAGTCGAGAGAGAGAGAAAGAAAATAGACAAAAAGCTTTAACTGCCAAAAAAAAAATACTCATTCAGTGAAAAAAAAAAAAAAAAATACCTTAGTGATTACAGAATTTACAGATACGTGTAATTTTTTCTGCGAGTCGTCGGAAAATGCGGCACAAAAG